AACCAATTATTTTTAATTTGGAAAAAAGCTAATTTTGTAACAGCTTGAGCTATTTCTTTTCTTACAGACGCCTTCATCGTAGAAATATTTACTCGAGCTTTCGCTTTTATCCGTACCCCACTTATTTCAACAGAAATTGTGATGTCACGAAAAGGAGAATCGGGTCGAAGGTGTGCAACGTGCGTGCTCTTCAATTAACCCTTCGCCGTATCGATAGTTCCGATCGGATCCGCGCGAACAATCGCGATCGTATTTTCTCCGAGCTGCCGACGTAGCATGATTCAATACTTCAACGATCCGACTGGCAATAGAAATTTTTTTTATCAATGCACTGTTGCACATACATATAGACGCATTAAGTTTCTTCGGAGACAACACCCCGCCGATTATACTCTACTTGTCTCATCACGTTGTAGAATATAATAACTGAGCTATTATAGTGCAACGTTGCAAGAAGGAGATTAAGGCCGAGAGACACTTTACTATTAATATTGCATGAAGTCAAACCTCAGAGACCTCCAGAATAAATAGAATGAAAGTAACTTCTCTTATGTGTGCTCGTTAGTTCATGTTTTTCTAGTGATAGTAAATAAGAAAGGTGAATGTCATCAAACGATTGTATTAGATGATAAATTATCTTTCTTGCGTGAGAAAATATATCTCGATCACATTTATATGAATAATAAGCGCCTATGTTATTACTTGTCGAATGACAGTTAATTGTACCGGCAAGATAAAATCAAAAAGCATTTTTTTAATTAAAAGTTATTAGCAAGATTTTATGCACACTCTGTAACTGTAATTCTAAGCGATATTGTGCCGTTAAGCTGGCTGCAAATCCCTCTCATTATTAGGTACGTAAACTGTGTTTTAACGGGATTACACGAATGACTGATTTTAATCTGCGACCACTCCGCCATTATTTGTTCGCATTTTTCGCCATTTTGCGGTAATTTTTTTCATATAAAATAACAATTGTATATCTGTGTTTAGAGGGTATATCTGTGACAGAAGGTCTCTATTTGTATTCATATAAAGTCGCGTACCTCTTGATCCCTCAAACAGATGAAGACTGTCATCTCGAGTCCTGTTAATTAAACATAATGGCATTCTTGCTAATTAAATTTGCTCCAAGTGCTCATTTTATACGCATACACGAAAAAATATATTGTACATAAAAATGTTACGCGGCGATATAAACGCGTACGCGGAGCTTCGTTACGTCTATGACTGGAAGCAACGGTGCTTGGTATATAACCTTGAACCAATTATGTATACCAATTATTTCCTCAAACCGGCCGTTTTGCATTTCGGCGAGGTCACAGGCTGAAGCACTTTACGCTTTTACGTGCCTTGTAAATAATGGTGTAGCAAGGAATGCGGTTATCTACATGGAGGGATCACTGTGCGATGAGTTAACGAAACTGCGATGGCCCTAGCCGTTTTTCCTTATTACGTAAAATGACAGGTTGTGCTTGCTTCATAATATCCAAAGCTTTACGAAATACCAAAATATTTACATAAATTTAACGCTTTTACTAAAGAAATTGTACAAAAAATGAATTTCTGATTGTTGAAATAAGAATCTGCACGAACTAAAAATAATATATCATGAAAAATTTAGAAAACCACCTAGTCGACGATTAAAAGTAACATAACATCAATGTTATAATCACGTTACATAACATTTATATTGTTGAGAAATTATAACATTGATTTTTAACGTCGACTGGACGCGCGGCTTTCTAAATTTTCCATAAAATAATACATACACAAGCACGAGCATCCGTTCGTTCACGTGCATCTCTACGAGCTAAGCATTGCCACGAGAGCGTGGCATCTAGGAATTTTATCGGGTTTATATCGCTATTTACATTCCCCTGAATCTCTAAACGCTGGCTTGATCTACGCGCGTCCGTTAGCTTCTCCAACAAAAGGACGTCTCTCAAGCGAGTTCCGCATATCCGGGCAGATGCAACTCTCGCACGATCCACGTCGGATAAAAGTCACCGTATACCTTAAGCGCAGGATCTGTCGCCGACGTCAAAGCGACGCGCGGTGCACGGAAACACTCACCACACATACGCGCGTGTCCCGTATTTAAACGCCATAAATTCTCGCGCGACTCGACCGCGTGTCCCCCGGGAGAATCGGGCCGATTAGTCGACATTGAAAGTTGCCGAGCGGTACCCTAACGTTAACGGTGTCTCGGGCAATTAAGTCTGCCGCGCGCCTCCGGCTTGTGTGCCCTCCCTACGCTAGTGCGTAAACACGCGTGCACGCGTCCATGTGTGCGCGCGCGCGGCTTAGCTCGCTTACTTTGCTTGTCCACGACAATTACCCTTTAAATTGCCGGTGATCTTGCGGGGAGGAAAGTTCAGGGTGACGTGTTCTTCTTTTCCCTCATCTCTTTCTCTTCTCCCTCTTCGTCGTTCTCTCCTTCTCTCGCCCGTCCTCTCGAGGATTCACTCCCACTCGATCTATCTCTGTTACTGTCGTGGCCGGTCGACTATACGGAATAAGCGTGAGAAGAAATGCCTCAATCTCCGTGGGGTACCCTAATACAGCAGGATACGCTGATTGTGAGATTTAAATGCCACGGTTGACTGTTAGATGGATTAATTATCGGTAAGCTTACTGAGCTTTTTTTTTTCCCGCGTCGAGGACTTCCTCAATTCTCCAAGTATATTAGCGAGAATTCGTAACGCACGGAACGAGGACGTTTCTAATTATGAGATTATAATTGGAAATTGATCAATCTCGATCAAGAATCTGTCTACGTATAATAAACGTAGGTACAGTTAGAATGCTCCAACTCATTAATATAATTATTAATAGATCATAAACGTATATTTATGTCATCGTGACGACAACTAATAAAAAATAATTAGTGTTGATATTAATAATTAACGTGTACGTGAAAATAATTATTTTATACCTATGCACTTGTGAGAAAGATCATAGAAACATGAATCCATGTAACTGAAATATAAATATTCTTCTTCCTAAACATAATATGTAAAAAAAAAATGCTATTTAATATGCATTATTTATTTGTTTGTAACAAATAATTTTTTAAATAAAGATGAAGGACGCAAACACGGGTAAATAAAATAATTTCGGACATCCACTTAAAGAAATCGCGCTTGTTAATTTGATTGCTTTGTACGGTCTTATCGACCTAGTTAAACGACACAGTTATGTGCGTGGATGTACGTGTCAAAGATATTAATTCTCGACAACAAGATGTTAACATTTCAAATGTCTGATCATTGCATAGATAATCAAGTTGCCTCGCATAATGGCTTCAATTTCTCAGCTAATCCCGCAGTATATTGATGCGGTGTGTCGCAGTAAAATCACGCGATTGCAAAGCTAATTACACGAATGAATTCCCATGTAACATAATGCGTTTAATAAGTTTATTAGCAGAACATTAAGGACTATATATATATGCGTGTGTATTTATCCTATCTTACAATTTTATTTCAAAAATGCCAATTACTTTCGTTTGCTTCCAATATGGAATTTATCCAATATGGAATATATCAAAATGTGCTTGGTTTTAGGAAACTAGATTTTCTTTAACTTTTCGAACAATAGTCGATCGAGAAGGAACAGAAAAACATAAAATTACGAAAATCTAGAAATTCTTGCGCTGCTGCGTTATTTTGCTACATCAATTGCGTTACGTAATAACTCATGTTCTTTCCGCTGTATGTAAGTACATCATAAGCTGCGGCCGACGGAAGCCGCGTGCGTCACGGCGAAATCGCTGCCAGCTTCCAGAGGACGCGGATCTACGATTTGCGGAACGATTTGGACGAAAAACGGTCGAGGCGAGGCCTCATCGCTCGAGGAAAAGGGAGCGTTGAACTGCGGAACGTCGACCGCTCGAGAAGTGTATGCAAACGGATGATAATTAGCCCTGAATCCATCTACGGTGATATGAATTTCTCGACGACGGAGGATGGATTCCTTCGCGTGGCAATATGCCACCGGTAGCGACCGTCAGGCTCTTCCCACGAAGAATCTGATCGGACACGCCTGCCCCGCCGGGGGCCCCGGTTGTAAATCGCGATACATAGGCAGCACGACGACATCTCGTCCGTCGTTGACCTATCTATAAGCGGTAATATCCCTTAAGAGGGCCGGTTCATGAAAGTGATTATGTAAAGCAGCATCTCTGAATCGCAGATTCGAATTATCTCGGCCTGCACCGGCGTGTACCGTGGGTCACGCTCGCGGCCACACATTATATGGCATAAGGTCTGCTGTGCCCTCCCCAGTCGTCTCTTTCCATGATGATAAAGATCGAGAGTACATATTTCTGTAATACGTGCTCCTCGAGGATGCACGTACGAAAGAAGCGGAGATCATCGCTATATTGCATGATCTATGACTGTTACGAGAGTATAATAGCTGATAATATAGTTGGTATATATAATGCAAGTATCAACAAGAAGGATGTCGCACGCTCCGTGATCTAAATACCATAATGTAGAACGACGGCACGACGGTGAGGTAACAAGATGAATTATCTTCGAGTAAGTTGGAGAACTTATCTTCCGTCATCAAACTTTGGAAGATTATCATTTACTATGTCATCTCTCATTCGTCATTCACTATGATATTCTTCATTAGTTTAACAAATTCTACGATGTGCTTCTTTAATTTGGCAAATTACGTCGCAGGATGTGTTATATTTTTTATACAAATATACAAAATTGTATGTACAATAAGTTGTCGTAATTTGTGTCAAATGTATGCATTTATATTTTTTTTATGAAAAAAATATATTTTTATACAAAACATATGAAATAAATATAAAGCAGCTTAAAAATTACTTCAAAAAATACAGAAAATTGTATAAATAAAATAAATAAATATTCTTATCTCTTTTATACACGTTTTATTATATTGCAATATAATCTTCAGAATATAATTCATATGATGTACACTTTGGTTTTTCAGAGTCTATATTTAAATAAAACTTCGTGGCTTCTCTTGTCAAGTAGAATCACGTATAAAGCCTTCCGTTATATATTTGATTCTGTTTCATCGCTATTTATTTCGATATAATTATGTCGACAATAATTCCGATCTAAATGGAAGTTATGCTTGAACTTTTCAAAAGCTAACCAAAACTCTGCCATCTTTTGATCTACTCGCTTTATTAAATCATCACGATGCCGCTGGACTTCAACTTTAACAGTATGTTCTATCCTACGTAAAAACTTAGCGTTGTTCTCATATGATGCTGTCAGTTTGGAATTTGTTAATTTGTTAGACTCATCTCGATTTTTTACAGTTGTATCTTCGCAATCGTACGCTTCGCTTTTCTCCTTTTGAATTTCCGATGAATTAATTGCATTTTGCTTTTCAGACCTGCAAACATTGTATTTGGATTTTTAATGTTAATATCGCATGGACTCCCACAAATATGATATTATCATAAATATGACACCAAATAAGACTCTCAAAAATCAAACCAATTTTATAGTAAAAAAAAAAAGTATATAATATTATGAAGTAATTATGCATTTTATAAATAAAAATAAAAATTAAGAATTTCAGCTTCGCAATCAGCTTGCGAAATATAAAATTTTCAGAAAGTAAAGTCGATCAGTTTGGTCTCTGCGAGATTCAAATGTCGATTACCATGCTCGAAATTGTTCCCACAGTTCGATCAAGTTGCTTTCGTGTAAACTAATAACGTCCTCTTTAAGTCGCTTCTCCCACGCATCGATTTGCCTTTGAAAGTCAAAGTAGGATTTCGCACATCGCTTCTCCAAGACCTCTAGATGTCCTTCGATATTATCGTATACTTTCCTCATATTTTCCATCTCGTCATGTATCCTTCTTCTTTCCGCCAATTGCCATCTGACTATTTGAGAGGAGATCCTCTTTTCGTGCTCATCTTGCCAAGTCAGCAGATCTCGCCGAAGAATTTCACATCTCCCGTGACTCTGGCATTTCTGCGGACTCTGGTACCTCTTCAGGGCGACGATCTCCCTCTCGGCTTGGGACAATCTGTACTTAAGCTGTTCCACGGTGGTCTTCAAGGACTTGTCACGGAGACCGATTTCTGCCTCATCATTGTCGCCGGAAGCTTCCGCCTCTGGAACACGCATTCTTGTGTGACATAACAGGTACACATATTCCGTTTACTTTTATGCAATGATAACGCGAAATATTAATAAAAGACTGAGAAATCTCACGAATTTTAGAATGCTTTCAATTATCTTGGTTATACTATATCGTCTTTACGCTTCAACTTTGAATTGTATTTTATACGCTGCTATATTAATTTTTTTTTCGCAGGATTTTTAGAACACGAAGAAACCTTTGGAAGCGTCTGATTCGAAACAATAATAGTCATCTGCGACTCTTCTAGGCTGATGATAATGTTGTTCCATTTGATCGTCTCCGGAGCTGCTATCCCCTGCCGAATCACTCTTCTTGTACTTTAAAGTGTCAAGTTCGTACGTCGGATTGCCATCGAATATCATTCTCTTTCATTTCACAATGCCCGTTTATATTACCTTCTGATTTTCTCAATATCCTTTGATAAGATTTGTAGGGAAATCTTGTTATTCGATAACCATTTCTTTCTGGTTCAATAAAATTAGTAGATGCCTGTTTGAAACATAATGTGGATTCGGATTCCTCTTCAATAGGCGATAAACTACGAACTTCTTCAAAATTCTCGCTTTTTTGCATATTTTCAATATATTCCTGATGCATTCAACAGCTTCTAGATATTACATACTTTACATAAATAAATATCAATATGGTAAAAGAAGATATTCATATATATTATTTTTATTAGATATAAAACAGAGAAAAGAATTTAGAAATTAATGTTACTTAAAAAAAAAACTTTAATAATTATATATATAGGTTTTTTTATGTAAGAAGTTAATGAAAATTTAATTATCTTATCATAATAATTTATTAAAATTGTATAAAAAATATTAACAATCACTGTAGTAATTATTTAAAAAATCATTGTATTATTATTTTATTATGATCTTATTCTACTAAAAATAATATAATAAACAACTAAGCCAACTCATAGCTATATCCCACTCTTGATTCACAAAGGATCTTCTCCTCGTGAACCCAACAGAAGAGTCTCTCTTGCAGTGACCTTCGTCATGCGCGATACACGATGAGGAGTCGAGAAGAAATCCGTATCCGCGTCCTTTGGTTGCTCAATCGCGGGAAAAAGAAACGGGGACCGGGAGGATACAGCATAGAACGGCAGGACGAACAGCAAGAACGAGCTTAATGGCGCTGTAACGCTGGCAGCGGGCAATTTTCAATTTCGCTGACTCGCGCGGAAGTGGCTTTCCCACCTCCGTGGCGGAATTGAGACGTCGCTACGAGTCACGGGGCACTTGGCACCACCGGATTTGACATGGACAGCTGGTCGCATTGGACACGTTAGGAACACCGTAAGGAAAAAGAGCGGATTTTCCCGGATAGTTGCACGGTATTAACCCTTTCACTGCTTAACATCGATATTCCTGTCGAAATGAACTTAAATTTATGCGGGATCGGTCGGATATCAGTATCTCTCTCGAATGACATCATATTAAAAAAAAAAAAAAAAGTTCTACAGAATTGATGAAGCGGATATTAAACACAAATGTGATTCCAACTTTTAATAAAATGCATTAAAATATTTATCTTTATCTTAGCATATCTAATTCAATACTTTATAATTATATTTGATTTCGAAATTTACACACTGGGTGTGTAAGATTCCGTGTGATGTTCCGTCACGGAAATCTTACTTTTATTCTGCATACGCTCGATAACAATCTCAACGTTGCATCTCGGAGATCTTCAAGATCTGAAATAAATAATAAGCGTCTATAAAAAGTGATACGCAGTACATTTACAATAATTATCGAAGATGGTTATCCGTTTACGTCAGAGACGTTAAGGTTATTCGACTGCCGGTTCTCGCGATGTTCGCTCCACACACGGAAATGGAGGTGAGACGACCGCTCGCTCGTTCGCTCGCTCGCTCGCTCGCGGTGAATGCGGATCGTTGCGTGAAATTAAACGGAGTACGGAGCCGCGAGTAGCATCACGGATCCGAGAGATAATCGAGTGCCGAAGCTCGCGCGAGCCCTTCCGCCCGATATCCCAGTTTCGCGGGAGGCTCGACCGTCATCATGTGAGAACACCTGCGGCGAACAAGAGCAGCGAACAAGCACGGCGAGGAGGAAGGAAGCGTAAACGAAGGCGCCTGCATACGAGAGGAGAGCGAAAGAATGGACGGCAGGAACGGTAAGGAGCAAAGAGTCGCACGGTGTGTGTTATGGGTATAGCGGTCCTAGCGGTAGATACCCGCAGATAACGCGCTTATTTACATAGGCAGGCGCATAAGTGCGAAGCAACGTGACGTTAATGAATTGCACGCGTAACGCGTGCATGCAATCCGCGTAAGGATATATAAGGTAACTGCCTTTGCCTGTCGAAAACTTAATTTATCGAGTATTATCTGCTATACGTTTAAGCTAAATAAAAATTGCATCAATAAAACTTTTATACCGTATAAGAGATATGAAATATTAATTTTTTATATTTGAAGAAAAGCTTTTTAAAACTCTTACATTCTTACTGTACATCCTATATGGTGCGATATATACGGTAAACCATGGATGACTGTAATCAACTCGAAATTTACAAATATTTATAAATAAGACGTACAATGAAACAAAGTGACTTATTTAAAGTGTTTGCAAAGTTTTATTGAAGAATAAAAATGACAAATATATGTATATTTGTCACTTTGTTTCATTCTATGTCTTATTTATAAATATTTGTAAATTTCGAGTTGATTACAGACATCCATGGTTTACCGTATATCGCACCATAGGATGTACAGTGAGAATGTAAGGGTTTTAAGCTATAGATAATAATTTTATCTCTTGCACACGTTACACGTGTTATGATATAAAACATATATTTCGTGTAATGCATTTATTGCATTTAGTGCACTCATTGCATTTAATGCACTGAATCCAATATGCGCACTATGTATGCTGTGGGTATAAATCCCACGCGCTAAAAATGCCGTATATCCTAAACAGGTGGGATATACAAGACATCAAGTAGAACAAAGGAAGCACTTGTTAAGCGCATGTTATTTTACTATACTTCATCCTCTTTACTATCTCTCTACACTTATGTATTACGAAGTAACTCTAAGCCTTTTACACTCCCTACGGTAATTAGTTTACGTAGGTTGTACATGATTGCGCTACTTACTACATTGATTCAATTCACAATGGTTTCATTAATATTAACAGCAGTAAAAGAAATCGCAACACAATACTGACGCAATAAAGGGATATAACAGAGTGGTTGCGTGAAAATTACCTTTTTCTATTTTTTTTCTGACTTCTACGATGTAACTCCTCGCGCAGCGTAAATACTCGAGGTGAAGAAATGAACGCGAGTTTTTCTCGTGACGGGTCGATCCTTTTACTCAAGGCCGAGAATCGAGATGCATCGCAATCTAAAATCAGAAATGCATTTATGCGGAACTAAAAGACGTAAAATGGAGATTTTTGTTAACTTAATAACAATATAAATTATATATTATAATATGTACTCTCTATATTATAATACAATAAGGAAGAGTAATAAGAAAGGTAAAGCAACGGAGTTTCTTTTGCATTGTTTACATACATATATTCCTGTTAACAAATTATATAATTATCTTCTTTTATAATTACTAGAGTTTCACGCGTATTAATATACTTGAGGGAGCAAATAAAAAATATTGGCGCGATTACCGAAAATGTTTTAAATATATCTCAATTTATCTGATGCAGCTGGTTAGGTACTCAATACTACTTTGTGAAGTAGTTCCATGCAAATGGAAGAAATGGAAGCGACTTTGCTATTGTTTTATCAGTTCGGTGGAATGCCGATAACGGGGATCGTGGGATTGCTTGTTAGCAATCGCGAGAAAATCCGTGGAAGAAAAGGAGAATTAACGAGCGTCACGCTAAGCGATTGTTGCCGTTATCCAATTGTATAACGATGAGATCAAAACAATATCGAGTTAAATGATCTACAAACGAACTTATATTATATATTATGCGATTTAGTTCGATTCAAATGTGTCCGTCAGAAAGATTATCGCGAGGGGGTAATTATTTAATGTAATCGTGGGACGGAGTCCCTGAAATCATTATAAAATTTATATAAAATTTCGATATATAATCCGACAATTACAAGAAATAATTGTGTAACATTAGATAAAATCGTTTATTTTACCAAATGACCGCATATATAGTGAGGCAAAATTATTTGTCATCAAATAAAATTATATAAAATTACATGAAATCATATAATCTGTGGGACAATATTTCATATAGTGATTACCCCCTCGGATTATCCGATTATTGCATACAATGACACATGTCACAAAGCATGCATGTGTGATTCTCTCCAAAGAAATTGGCTTACGATGAAATTGATGGACTAAATTTTCCATTTACCCTACAAATTTTGAAACAACGTTACTAAAATTTAACATACGAGTACATTTGTCTCGTGAAAGTAAGTACGTCTTCGTCTTGTACATCACCTTGAGAGAATAAACTTGAAATCGAGCATCTTTATTTCGAAATCGTACGCTTTCAAGTTTACTCGTTACGGAACGGACATCAACATCCGGTTATTGCATCGTATACAATGGAGGAGACGCGCGATGAACCACGCCGAAAATGACTCATCCATTCCGCTTTCAGCGGCCACCCTGAAGCCGATTGGCTTTGACGGCAGTCGCAGCCGCCTCCGATCGAGTCACTCGGCTAACTTGTCACCGACCTCGGATAGCACATCATCGAAGAAAAACGCGCCTGCGACTAAAAAGAAAGAGAGACTAACAATAAGAAAAGAAAAACGTCTGCAATTAGCTCGGCGAGCGCCCGCCGGGGGCTCTTATCGCTGTGCCGGTATATAGCCGTCGTTAATTAATTTTATACCAATTGTATATCCGTCTCCCGCGTGATAGAAGTAACCGCAGACGGCGAACTTGCCGCAAGGTTGACGTCGACTCTTCAACCTTGGTCGATCTATTCTTTCAATAGCCTTCGACACGTCCCAGCCGCGTCCTCCTTCTCCCCTTTCTCATTCTCGGTTTTCGTGGTCGGTTCAATTAAGTCTTCTCGTCTTGCTCGGAGACCGCCGCGAATGTTGGATACCTTGTAATTTCGCCGTCATTGTTCGGTGATTGTGTGCTTACAGAGATCGTTACTACTTCTTAATGCTTGATTGATTGAAACAAGTGTCCATTTTCTTTGTGTTATTTACACTTATATAAGATAACTGTTATGTTAAATGTGACACTGTTAGATAACAAAGGAGCAATGGTAGCCCAATCTTTTGAGTTAAATAATATTTTGTTATTTTTAATTTCACAGTAGACAATGTCAACATTAACGTATGTACTTAATAAATAGGTAATAAAGTAAATTTGAGTCAAGTTTAATACATTTTCTTGAGTTGAATTGTTACAATTCATTGTTTTGGTTAAATTAACAACATTATATTGAATAGGAGCAGAGTGGCGATTTACAGAAATGATTGAAAATAATTCAAATTGAATAATTTGACATTATGTGAATATAATAATGTACAGAATAATAATTAAATAACGCTACGAATGATAAAAGTTTAAACATTTGCATGTCCAGTGGATATTTAAATTAAATCTATAAATATCCGTTGTGTACCTTCTTATAAGGCGAGAAATGTAACGGTGGCAAGAACATCGACGTCGACGACAGACTTCGAGAACTTCATCTATGCGGTCGTACACCGCCGAATGGAGATACGGCAATAAATAATAATGATAAAACGGTCAACGCGCGGCTTTCTCGCTGACTCGCGAACGAGAGGCAACGGAAGCCGCTTGGATATCACCTCGAGAGAGTATTCACGGGAAGAGCATAACAGTATCATACCGATGCGATACCGATGCGACTATCTTGCTGCGACGGTACCCACGGCGCGGAGGAACAATCAAGCGAGTAGCGTGAAATCGCGATACGACGATACTTCGTGTCCGTATAGAATGATTAGAGAACGAACTGGAGTGATTCTCACGAGACTCGCTTCATCAACAGCTTGTTCTTACCGTCTTCCTTTCTTTGGTCCCGCACTCAGAACTGGGGACATGTACATACAAAGCAATCCAACTTCATTTTAGCAATCAATTTGATATTAAAAACAAATGCGATTTGGCGGGAAGGATGTCAATATCGTCAATATTTGTCTTTGTTTATTAGTTATGAAATAAGGATAAAATGACACATTCGGGCATTCTGGCGAAGTTTCCGAATTCATTGGTACATTAAAATAAACCTTATAAGCTTAATTTACGTGTGAGACGTTTAAGTATCTTGTTCCGTCATTACCATAATGAATATGTATATTACGTTATTATGTATATATGTATATATTATGTAAAATATTATTCACACGCACAGTAATGTTAATAGACTGCGTTGTATTTCAAAATACCGTTGAAAATATCGTTATGTCAAGAAGATATTTCCAAAGAGACCTTTATAACGTCTTCGATCACGCAAATAGGATGCGGTTAGGAAGGTGTTAAATGAGGTTGTTGATGAAGTTGTCGGAGGCTCAGATCGTTGTTGGGATACAACGCGTGCTGACGGCTTAAGGGTACGTGCCGCCTTTTAATGTAGACATTGGGTTGCGCGGATAGAAGAAATGCAGACGCGTTTTTCCAGTGACGGGTACACGTGTGTGCAATGCATAGTTTCCTTCCGCAATTTGCGCGGAATGCAGTCTCGAGCGCCGCGGAGCCCTTATACAACGAGAAACGCCGGAGAAACCGCGAGACCCTACGTGGTTTCATTAACAGTTAGACAAGCGTGCGACTTTATATACTTTATAACGGATATTTAACTACCTAATTGTTGCACGAACGTAATACAATAAACAGAATTTTTTATGCAATTTTGCTGGTGCATTAACTCGAAATGCAGATTACAATCAGATAGAAGACAATTACACATTACAATTATTGCATTATTTGCACTATTTATACATGTACATTTACATAACGGCTATGCATTTGTAACATAATAAATTATACAATATAATATGATATTTATTGCACTATATTTATATAAGCTACAATCGTGTGTTGGTAATATAATCATTTTCCACACCTAATTGCTAAGATAAACTGTAAATACGCTGTAAAATATATACACACATATATTATATTGCCATTAATATATTTGTCTGAAAATAATAGTTTTTATAAATTGTATCACAGTTTTCCACCATACACATAAAGAACGTGAGCAATTTACAAATCCTATCGCTAATTTACTGTGCAAAAATTCTCAAGAACCATCAATTCAATTATAAAATAAAAGTTCGTATATTACGTTTGTACAAGCTAAATATTATGAAATAGCTACGCAAACGTATGATGCGCTTCGTAATTCTCTGGATTTACACGTTGCATCGTATGTCCAAAAACATTTCAGACCACAAAACATTCCTATCATGTATTTAATCATCTTTAGTTGAAGGTTTATCAAGATATAACCGTACATTTAATAACAGTTTAAAAAATTTTACGCTACGCAGTTTGCACGTTTCTGTCTGATTTTTTCGAGGTGAAGACTATGAGCGTGCAAGTTTACTTACGTCGGTACATTTTATTGCACCGATCGACGGCGGTAGCGAGGTCCTGAGATCTGCGATAAAGCTGCGTCCACACTAGAAGAAGCGCTGGATAGAGGGGGATGAGCATGTGGGTGAAGGCTGGAGGGCTCTCCAGGATGTGTCGAAAGTGAAACTCAAGGTCTCATACAGTCTTTCGTTGTGTGGTGCATATATATGCATGGCCATTGTCCGCCCTCATACGAGCTCGATCACAGCTCGCGATAAGCTTCGATTCAGGTCCTTCGAGCCTCCAGTTCGGCTCTGCTAAACGATTATGGATCTCCAAAGATGAGGATATTATTATGGAGATGATAGCAAGAAGTGAAACTCGTCTTCTGCTTAAATCCTTCTCTCAAGATCTTACGTCGCATGCTTGTTTGTACTTGGTAGGAAATACGTAAGAAGCAAGCATACTAAAATGTTAAATTAGGAGGTAGATAAAATATATAAAATATATAAGAAGTAATAAAGCAACGTAGCATTATATAAAAATATGTGTGATATAAACAAATAAAACGTATTTCCTTTTTTTTAAATAGATTGATGCTTGGAATACTATGAAATTATTTTTTATCATAATTGTTCAATATTATAATAATATATTTAAGATTCTTTGTAGAATAAAAAGCATACTTACACGATGTGAAACATATTAAGTTAATAATCGGTGCTATACAACCATACTCGAGTAAAACAGGGAATATGAGATTGCCGGTTATAGATCCCAGTCTTCCTGTTAGCATTTCTATGCTTACTGCCATGGTTCTGATAAATTAAAAGAAATAGAACGTGTATATATTAAATACAATAATTAATAATGGACTCCTTATATTTCAATAAAACAAATATAATTAAATTCGGTTAAATAGGAGTCAGCGAGGTAAGAAGTGCGCAAATTAATAGAATAAATATTTAATATTAAACTACCCTGACTCCTATTTAACCGAAATTAATTTTCTTCGTTTATGTATATATTAATTATTTTTCGCTTTATGCAAGTCAATAGTAATTATTTTTTTATTGAGTTTAAACAACAAACCTTAAAGCTGTGGGAAAAAGTAAAACGGTTGCGCCTACTAAAACGTAGAAACTCTTACTCATTATTCCGACGTATAGACACGTGAGTATAAGAGTAGATAATGAACTTGTAGACCAGATTAAAGCTATCAGACACAAAATCGAGCATCCGTAGCCGATAACTGTATTCGAAAAAGATAGAAAGATAGAAATCATTAGTACTTTCTATTTCTTCTTCGGTATAAGAATTCTTTCAGTATAATAACAATATAGAATAACACTAATGCCTGTTTCCACCAATGCAGATTAACTTTAATCTCGGTTTGACTTACTGTTAATCTTTATCTAATTTTTAGAATTAGAGAAAGATGAAAAGCGAATTGAACCGAGATTAAAATTAATCTGCTAACTAAATTAATCTAATTGGTGGAAATGGGCATAAAAGAAACTTACATAATAAATATTTGTGTTGCAGAAAATTAACAGCAATACTGGCACACAATATAAAAATACTAGAGGTAGCCGATACAATGATACTGTCGATATACATTGAATTTGATACAACAATCTGAAATTAATGTTATTAGTATCTAAATTAATTACATGCAAAAAGTGTAAGAGAAAATAATGAAAAAAATATTAATATCTTTTAATTATGAAGATTTTAGTCTATACAAATTACTTTACGTAGTTATAAATATAATTATAATAGATAAATGCATAATATAAAATGTACTAATACAGGTATATGTATTTTATAATTATAATATTATATCTCATCTTACATTCTCGCAAGTTGAGCTTTCTAATGCAACAGTTTTATTTGCATTAATAGATCTCGAAATATCCAGTATTTCACAAAAAGTAGGCTCAGTTATGTTGGTATTAAGGCTGTAAAAATCATTTATCGTCGCAAAAAGTTGTGGCTGCCAGAGGCGAAGAGTATTTAAACTGTAAATATAATAAATACAAAACATACATACATGTATAAATCATCAATATATCAATATATAAAAAAATGTCACATTAAAGTCTAATAAATTATTTAACGTATAAAATTAACCATTTAAATGTACTATAATTTAATTAAAAACACGCGGCATTTTGAAACCTTTTAAAATTATATTTAGAAATAGTATTTCTTTTATATCTTTTCAATTCAATCGAGATAATTGTAATTTGGATTTGTATCCAATGAGAAAATAAAAAGTTTTTACACGTTCACGCAAACATGAGATAAATCTAGCTTTTATAATGTCCTATCGAAAATGGCATTATTTAATTTGAAAATCGTTTCGCTTATTTAATTTGTTATCAATGCAACGATCTCATTAATGGAAAATTTTTACTAAGTTCGATAATGCCTCCGAGTATAAAGAGAGAATGATATTTAATCGTCAACTGTATGCACAATTGCACAATTAAACCGATAAACAGTAAATTTTTATTTTTGTTGCTGTCATTGGCCTGACGTCCCTTAATTTAACAGAAGATTTTACTGGAAGATTTAGTAGAAGATTTAGTAGAAAATTTTGTAGCGAATTTGCAAACCGAGGATGTGTATTTAGTTGCATGTTTGTCTCCTCGGCTGACATCCTTTAATTTAGTAGAAGAATTTAGTAGAACATGTGATGTAGGTACATAATATCCCGGGGTGATATGAATCCACAGATAATGAGAATAGCTCAGTTAACAGCGAAATACGAAGAAACAGATGTGTGTGATATCTTCCGCGCTGATAAGGTCATAAATTCTCTGTCATTCAATCATCAACACGGCATTTATATGGCTAAGATCTTACATTTTTACGAGTCATCTACCTTATTGTATCTCGTAAAAAGTATAATTCTACAGCAGCATTATATAAACTCGCACAAATATTATTGCTATTACCGCGTTACTCGCTATTCTGATCTTTATAATCTCACGGTGTCGCAGTATATTTATTGTACAGCTAAAAAATAAAATTAGTATTGTTTCTATAATACTATCTACGGTTATCATAAACAATTGATCTAATAGATAAAATAAATAAATTTTGTCATATCTTATACTGGATTATACAATGTGTATGTGTGTGTGTGTGTACACTATACATAATCGAACTCAGGAATTGTAGCGAAAAAATATAAATTGGAAAATGTTTTGTTTGAATACTGTTTCAAATAGAATCTTTAAATAAGCAATTTCATTAAAAAACCCGCAATAAAAAAACGCCATATTTAAAAAATCATAATTTTTTAAAAATATTATCATAATGAGCTATTTGGTATTTCTTCCGTTTAAATATTTGTTTGATTTTTACTTAATTACTTTTTTCAGAAAACTGTAATTAAATTTATGTCGATAAGATTCTCAAATACCAATAGATTGGAAAGCAATTAATAATATACAATATGTTATTAATAATAGTAATTTAATTTTTTATGCAAATACCCCAGGTGATTGTTTACGTAAAAAATTTGTGATTATTCCCAGGTTAGCTAACGAAAAAAAATAATATAGACTAAAGTTACATTATATTTAAAAAGAAGTAGATACTATTAATTATTACGTAGCTATATATATATATATATATATATATAAGTACGCTATATATATATAGCACATCTAAAATACAAAAATGTTTATTAGATGTAAGTGTAATTTATTAGATGTGATGTATTGGCGAAAACTCGTTACACTAGCAGTGAATCACTTTTCAGAAACTTTGTTGACTTGTAACATCTACCCTCTTTCTCTCACTCGACGTCTCTTTTTTATGATATGGTTATACGGTTTAGATTTACATCGTTTAAAGCACATATCTAATAATAAAAAATATATAGAGATATATCTTTATATAATAATAAAAAATATAGATCCATATCTTTGCTGTTTATAAATTATTTAAATAATTTTATGTAAGCTATTATAATTATGCTTACAGGATAATTATCCTTAGGCAGACCAGTATTCATACTGTAGATCTTCTTGAAAACTTCAAGAGCATCTTTATTACGATTCTGTGTCATCAGAAATTTAGGACTCTCTGGGAAGAAAGACAGACAACAGACACCTATCAACGACGATACTCCACAAAGGGACAGAAACATCCTCCAGGAATTATAGACGAAGGCACCATCCCAAAGAACAATCGACCACGGCTGAGGAATCACTAGCCAACCCAACGCTAATAACAAGTGCATGCATTAAATATTATTCCTTTAAAGGCTTTTCTTTAATTCATTGATTAAATATTAGTATTGTTCGTGTTGTCTCTTGGGAGCTGCTCGGAGTCGCTCCGAACTTGGATGTAATCCATATGCTGTAAATACCTCGAAACATTCTTTGACTGATAAATTCATAAAATTCTTTCTTCTGATTGATCAACGGAAGCATTTGCAGTATGAAATAAATCACATCCAAGTACGCTGAGTTCGTTCGAAGCGACGCCGAGCAGCTCCCGAGAAACAAAACGAATAATACTATTATTTTCAGGAAAAATTAAATTATAATAAGATTGTTATTAATAATTATTTTATTATAATAAATAAATTCCGAAATATTTTACCTGCATTCACTACACATCCAAAGGAAACCGAGAAGCCAACGAGAATTGGAATCTTCGTTCTACCTTTGGTGCCATAAAATTCCGCGCTGTATGCCATAAGAGCGGCATATGGACCGCACACACTAATGTGATTAAAGTTTAATGATCATTAATCTCTTTTATATTAAATGATCTAATTATACAATAAGTATAAAGAATTAATAAATTTATAGTTATAAGATTAAAATAATCTTGTTCTTTGGCTGATATTTATCTGTTTTTATTTTAAGATTGTCTTAAATAACGCCTTAAGATGCTATTACGGCTCTGTGTAATTAGTTTATGACATCTAGAGACTGTATTTAAGACATCCTCAAATACTGGCCTTTGTTTCTTTTTAATAGCAATATGTGCATTATTGAATTCAAATCCTAGTTGTAGCAATATTTTTTGTAAAAATTCTTTTACATGTTTCTAAAATGTTAGTAGTATCGTTATCAAACCAATAATCAATTTAATTATGATATTATTTTAGTTTCATCAATTTATGATTTCAAGTCTCTCATTAAGCGACGCGCAGTTTATATAACAATTTAATAACGAAGAATATATTTAAAATTTACATATAAGAGAATATTATTAGACACTAAAATGTTGACCGTATTACCTCTTTCCTTATTTATTTGATTCATTTATACATATAGAGTCTAAATTATCTTATATGTAATGTAATATTTTTCTTACAGAAGGCCACTGAGAAATTTGAAGAATAAGAGCGTCTCGAAGTTTTGCGAAAATCCTGAGAGTACATTGCATATACCATCCGCCATATAGCCATATATTAAAATCTTCTTTCTTCCTTTAACGTCAGCGAAGTATCCCCATATAAAACCACTCAATAGCATACCTAATACAATTTAAATATAAATAAATTACGATAAATTTCTTATATTGCTTTCTTTTATATTTCATTTTAGTACCGCTTAAAAATAGCTTAAAACAGTTTTATTATTGGTTGAAATAATATAAATATATTGAAAATAATTTCAAACGTCTCATTGCACTCACCTACATAGATAATAGCATTCAAAAGCCCTTTATCAAACAGTGACAATCCTAAATCGCACTCCGCCGATGGGAGTATCATCGACATATTAGCCGTATCTATACTCGATGCCCAGGAGGCCGGGATGATCGCAAAAATGAGAAGATGTTGAAACTTCCCGGTCCCAGCGACAGTAATCGCCGTTTCAAAATCCGCAATTTTTGCATTTGATGCATCTTCGATTACAACTACCGAAATATTATATGTATATGTAATTCAGAAAACATGTATATACAATTTAAAAAATTATACACACATACAATATATATATTTACTTTCTTCAAAAGTAATAACTCGCAAAAACGTGGTTTTTATGTGAATGAGTTATTATACATATAAGTAAATAATATTTTATCAATCATTAAAAATACACTAATTTGACTTTATAAAAAATTATCAAAATTTTCAGTCAGAGAGGTAAAGAAATATTTTTATATTAAAAACTTTTTTCACATTAAAAAACATTTTTATCTATTTTCTGAAATAAAATTTAAATTTTTGAATTGTATCATTTTTGAAATAAAGACACGGTATACAATATAAATAAACAGATAAAAAATTAAAGCTATAAATAATTAATTGTCATTAACATCAGGTGTTCTTATATAATACTTAAAATATCGGAAATTGTATATATTTCACAAAAATACTTTAAAATTCTTTTAATTATTTTTTAGCAAAAATTTTTTTAATTACAAGTATCGTCCACTTACTTGAATCTCGTTGTTGATTTTGTTCCTTATCAGGTACATCGATTGTATTAGGTTTGTTCGACATCACAGAGTATTTATTTTACGAAAGATATCAAACGATCACATAACACATAATTCAGAAAATAATTGATCGTTGCAATTTTCTCAAATTTAGCTACGCGTGCGTCAAAACAGGACCGCGTTTAAACAGCTTCTGTGTAAGCGGAGTTCCGATAACAATGATTATACGACATACATGCAACACGTATAGATTCTGTAGGGTAATCTTTCACGCGCTGATGAAATCACTTTACTTTCAAAGACGTTTCCTCTCGTCATATTTTCGAGTTCATCGCTTAATATCACTCAAACAATTTTATCACTTAAGTAAACTCAACCAGTTAATTTACCGTGTGCAGCACTGTGCTTACGATTCTAATATTTGTCGATGGAAATCGACAACTTAATTAAATATATCCACGTGCCTGATCTAATTACATAATCAAGAATCACTGTAAGCATATTGCAAATACATTTTTCAAGTATCGAGTATAATTTTTACATATTTTATTCAGATTACCTATATCTATTTAGTTCATAATAGCTACAAAAAGGAATATTTTCTTTTGTTCTTCATAGAGTTTATACCATTATATAACTTTATAGAGTTTATATAAACGTAAAACTGAATTTGTATAATCTAAAACTTTTAAATAATATTTTATTTTGTTCTACAAAAAAACAGCAAGTGGAACCTTAAAACTTTACATATTCACATAATAGTTGTAATATTTCAAGAATGCAGTAGAGCTTTCCTATTGTTTTTTGTGTAGAAACAGCGCGCGAGGTAGATCTGTCTAAGTTTACGATTACAATGATTTTATTGGATATTGATCAATCTAAAGGTAATAAATTTAATTCTGCTATATAAAATTTCATTTTAATATTCTCATGTCCAAAATATAAAATTCTATTTTCCTTTTTTAACATTTCTTATGCATAAGATTTTTTAAGATATAGTTATCTACTACCTATATTTACTTATACGTTTAGACTTGTTTCCTTTTCTATTGTAGTATTTAAGACAAAAAATAATAGTATCTTATAGGAATTGTTTTTGCATTTTGTGACGCTCATAAATAATTTCATCAAACATTAGCTTCTTATACAACATACATATCTTAACAAAGTAATTGTCAAATGAATTATAACGAGCTCTGTAAAATCATAATTCATTTGATAAGGAATTGTAAATGCCATCTAAATCTTACTAAAAATTCTGTTAATCTTTAATCAAGTAGTATTTGTTATCACTTATAATCCTTACATAATCTCAATTTTTTTTCCACCTTTCTATTTACATTGTTTAAAAAACTTTATTAATAATTAATGTATAAATGTTATAATAAAAAATTTTCAATTTTGAATCAGCAAAACTTTGTATAAAACATTTTATATTATTTAATATATTAATTTTTTCCTTTAACTTTCTATTACTCTTACTCCTCCACATAAAACTTAAAACTAGGAATAAAATTACATATCCATAAAATTTCATAACTAATTATATTATTATTAAATAACATATAGTAACTTACAGTAACAAAAAGTTTTTAGGATAATTTCAACGGTTATGTCTTGCCGTCTTATCTATATTGTATAATAGAATGTAGAATTATCGTACACACATATAAGCAGGAAAATTATCATATAAGGTAATACCGTTATCATTAATTTTTTATCACAAAATGATTTAGTAATGACTGTATAATTTTTCGTGACGGTAATGATGATGCTAAGAATGGGACAATCACTTTTAAAAGTAACTTATTACCATTATGCGTTCTTCATTGAAAAAATTCATTTCGTTATTAAGTAACAAGTTATTTTTTTATGAGAAACAAGTAATAGTAACAAATTACTTTCAAAATGGTCGTTTCAACTTTGATATTACTGTTATAAAAAATTGTAATGTCGTTATTAAATTTTTATTTACAAAAAGAAAACGGTAAAACAGTAATAGTATTACGAGTAATGAGTTTTTCGCCATCCCAGCTTATGAATGTTAAAACTTAATTTTTCTCGAACTTTCGGCAATGATTTCTAATTTCGCTTATCAAAATATCTTCTTGTGGAACATATTAACAACTACATGACAATTTACATTATCACAAGTCATTCTACCTGCAACGTAGTGAAAACGTGACGTATCTAAATGAGATAAATGTGGTAATAATACATAGACTGTGGACATAAATATACATTTATTGTTTTGCTGAAGTGAGATATTCGTGAAGAATTAAATAGTTTTAAAATTTTATATCAGGAGACGCGGTAGTGTCTCCGGCCATGTTCAAAAACTGAAAGACACTACAAGTCTCTTATCCCGAGCCACCAAAGTCCATTTTTCGGGGGTTATTATATCAAGAATTATATTAGTTACAACAGCTTATAACTTATATTTCCTTTGGTTTGATCAAAATAAGTCATTGTTTTCCTAAGAATTCCTTCTCGCGTGGTAAGTTCGACAGATCTGGGTGAAAGATTGATCTCAGCTATAACTTTTCTCGAGATTTTATCACGTTGCATGTAAGTCTTACGTTAAGTTATACCGCTCATCGGTATCTTTGTTCCTTTGTTGCGTCCGATGCAGGAAATACTATATTCTTTCTGGCCTTACGCTCACGATATCTATTTAAATGCTTGGGGGATTGCGAGAAGGCTGGATGTTGTAGACGACCTCTGGGCTCTGAACACATATTAACTATGTACCAGTGCAATCACGTACTTATACGATTGACAGGATTGACACTGTGATACACAGAGATAACATGTCAGAAAATAATTACCGAACATAATTTTCCAAACGTCTTAAATGACACTCCCAAATGTTTCATTTAAAATCATGAATATAATTCTTTCCTAAAACACATTTACAAAATATACATATATATTCTTAATACAAAATACTTTCGTCAAAAGCAATAATATTTTTTTTTTAATCAAACGCGTTTCATGGCAGAATCATGGAAATCTATTCATTCTTTGTGTTAACTGCACGTTCATCCTTTGGTAGATGACTTGGTTCATCGAAAAGAAAAATTCCTCGACTACCTCTCATCCTACTAGATTCCCGGGCTTGTCGATACGACATCGATTCCATATACTCAACCACCTTCGAAGAAAAAGAGAAGGAAAAGTTATATGCAAGGACAGAGTATCGCAAGAAAGCGAAGTTCGTTTCACCGGAGTAATTAAAGTTTCCTGCATTTGAATCGCGGAGTCGACGTTGCGTGGCAAGTGGCCTGCTTTACGACCGACAGTACTTTTGTCGAACAAGGAGAAATAAAAATCAGCGTCCTTTTACTAAATGAATTAGGGTCAGCAGATCGCACTATGAACTAACGTTTGCTATGCCGAAGGTCACGCTAAGGATGTTCGGAACCGATAAAGATCGTTAACAATGGACGTGTCGGCTATATAAATGAGATTAATTAAATAAGATAGCTTACCCGAGTATGAAATGACATCCAATAGGAAGTTCAAAATATTTCCAACAATGAGTTACAACTATACACATATTTGATTACACTTAATATTAAATGTTGTTTCTCACTACATTTACGATCAAATAGAAGTATTTATCTTGTCTTTTGAATTGAACTTTATATACCGAAGCAGAACACAAGTCATAGTGACATAAAAATGATCTCAAATAACTATTAAAAATTATTTTTCAATCACTCACGATTTATTTTAACATTAATTTGTTTTGCTTATTGTTAGATGATAACAATATTAAATATAGGCGTAACATGATCGATATAGAAAACTTTATTGAATGTAATTAATGTGTGTTGTATGCGGAAGTATCCGGACAAGAGATGGACAACAGGATGGAATTACGGAAGTTTTACTGAGTTTGATAATTAATTACATGTTCCACCGTATAAATCTCATCTGTCTAATGCACATTAAGCGAAACGTTTTATATGAACTATCTTGCACGATCACTACGCTCCATAATGAATGCACCCGACATAATTAATTAATGATACACGACGCTCGTGACTGATCATTGAGCATGTTTCGTTTTCTGGTAGGTAAAACAGACACTTAATAATCGGTTTAATGAATATCTTCGTTGAAATATGAACAATTTAATAAAAAGAATGTTTTACTTTTTAAAGAAAAGTATATTTCGCGTTTGCAAATATATAAGTATTGATCGTTATTCGCGGGTCCAGTGGATATGGACATTACAACTACATTGTAAAAATTGTTTATAAGAAATATTTTTCACAACTTTACATAATTTTAAATTTCATAATCTTATCCTTCGACTTTAATATTTAAACCCGAAAAAAAACGTTCAGTTTTTTACGTTAATTTTAAGCAAAGATACATTAATTTAAAAATGTTAAACCTACGAATACTATATTAGTTAAAAAAATTTCGGATCAAATATCGATTATGAAAAAAATCTAAGTAAGCTAATAAGCTTAATTTATTTTATGGTTATTAAAATTAATTATTATTTTTTCTAAATTATACAAGTTAATTACATGTCAAACGATATTTAAATGTATAACCTGATTGTTGTAATCAATGTAGCCTGTTAAGATTTCATATGTAATTGCGCTGTTAATACTTAGAAGAAATATTCTTTGCAATAATATGTTATTTAGAAGCCACTTAAACTTAATCATGATGTAACTGAAATGTATAAACATATAATTATATACTCTGTATTATCCAATTGGTTAATAGATATCTTACTGATTATAAATACACCAGATGGTACGTACATCCATTAAAAAGTTATTTAGTAAATAAATAAATAAATTTTGTGCATTGTAAGCACTAAATTTAAACAAAGATACATTAATAAGTGCACTGGAGTTAAGGAAAATTTTGAGCAAACCGATTAGAATTAAATATTTTTATATGAACAAGGAGATAAACATTGAAATTTATCGAAAATGTAACAAGATTTTGCTACAAAATTTGATTAGCGACAAACTTCGTATTTAATGATATTTATTTATGTTTGCGATAATAACAGTAAAAGTATAAATAATGTTAAAGAAATATTGAAATTATTAACCTTTTCAAGTATAATTTTTATTACACTACGAATAAAATGTTAAACTGATTCAATTTCATTTTTATTACTTTTATCCTAATAAACATATATCAACTAAAAATAATATCAATGTTATAATTTCACATATATGTTACAATTTTAATAATGTATTCTTATGTAATATATGTCTTATATTATACACACATTGTTCAGAATTGTTATGAAATTATAATAATGATGTTACTTTCATTTAATGTTTACTAGAATATTATTCATAACATTACGTAAATAGTCGTCCATTTCGCATTTCTTTTTTTAAAACACGCATATTAAAACATTTAAATTCATTACTTGATTCTCTTATATTTTAATTTTTATATATAATTATTTTTTTGTACAGAAGTTAGAAAGAAAATATTCATAATTTACATACAATATATTTAGCATTGCATTACACATAATATTATAAATCATATTTTCCTTTCTCTAATTAACAAGTACATAAATATTCAATGTAACCTCGAGAAAGTAAATTCCATAAAAAAATTTCGACACGTACATCGACATTTACATTAATTAAAAGTCGTAAAAGAAGAAACGTTCTCTCAATCAGAAGCAATCACTAATTTCTATCAATATAATGTAAATTAACTTTAACTTTTCATTATTTTCTAATTCTTAGAATTACAAAAAGATAAAAAATTAGTTGAATTGAAACTAAAATTGAAGTGCATTCGTAGAAATAAGCGCATTCAAACTAAAGAGAGATGAAGAATTAAGTGAGTCGAGATTAAAATTAAACTACATTGATAAAAACGGGTATTAAAGAGAAAATGTGTAATCTTTGAATATTAACACTCCCTTTTTTTCTCCGATTGTTCCAATTGTTCCAATTCTTGTTCTCTAATCGCGTCTTCCGTTCACTTCCACTTCTGCAATTACATGCGATCATATGCGCGCGCATGTCAGAGCGCGCGAAACCGCGCGACGAATTCAAACGTAACGACGGCAATAGGAGTTCGCCGCGTGGGCCGTCTGGCGGCGCCAGTGTCATGACGCGTCGCGCAGCGCCGCGGTAACGTTCGGTCGATAAACGGCGGGACGCGGAACAACTCGGTAGAATTCTCTGGAGGCGCTCTCTCACTCTCGGGACTCTCCGACAGTTTCTCGCGAGTCAGTGTTGTCAAGTATAGTCTTTAAAATACCGTGTCGTTCGTGTCCAGTCGCTGTCAGACCGAGGCTGAAGATTCTCGCAACGCTGAATTCCGGCAAGGTTTTCTCTCTCTCTCCTTTTCCCCGCGCGCACAATTTGAGTGGACTCGAGGAAACCGTGTGACGCATACACATCTCGGCAACGAGCGGCGGAATCGCGGGCGCAGAGCGCGACTGATATGTCGCGCGGGACGGCGCTCCTCCTCCGACGGATCGCGTAATCAATCGTGATCGATCACGCGCGCGTCGTCTCCTACAACGAACGGGGTGGCCGCCGCCCGCGGCACGGTCTTCGCGCGCCAGCAAGTCTGTCGAAACATGCGTCCGTTGCGGGGCGACAGGGACCGAGCGACAACCGAGGAGGCTCCTTCGAGGAATTGTCAGGGGGACCGTCGCCACCACCATCGCCGCCGACGCCGCCACCACCACTGCCGTTACGCGTGAGTCAGTGCGAGATCGGACGGAGGCGACGCACGCAAAATGGCTTCGGGCGACAATGTGGACGTGATCGAGGTGGTTGAGACGACGAGCTTCCCTGTGCCGGCGCAGCCCACGGTGGATCACCTCAGACCGGAGCAATCCACCGTCGAGGAGGACTGTGAGTGAACGTGTGACTCCGTTTCGTTTGCACCCCCACCTCCTTGCCCGCGTGCCTGTGGACCATCCATTGTGACCTAACCTATACCGCGACCTCCCGGACGCCGCGTCGTCTTTCTCGCTCGACGATCACTTCCCACGGCTTTCGCGAGAAAAGCCGCGATCGCTGCGTGGAGGCTCGCTTTTAGCACGCGGCCTTGGCTTTTCTCGCGTACGATCGAAGATCCGCTTAGCTGATCGTTTTGACAGCTAATGGGTGTCACCCGACCTACAAAGCGCGAACGGTGAGACTCCGTACACGTCGTCCGAGACGTGGGGAACGTTCGTTCGAAATGCATTCGACGCGTGTCGACGACGTGCGGCTCCTTTTTGCGAGCCGCGAGGTAATCGATCGATGGATAAATTTGACGAACCATTTCGGTCCTCTTGTCGTCATCACGATGTAATGGGTACCTTTCCATTTGGTGACACAAATGACACAAGTCGACGCGAGTATCGTTCTGTCTTTGTTATTCGTGAATTGCTAAGAAGGATGGGACGACGCGTTGATGTTAACTTATGTATTTACTAATTAATGAATTTGGTCATTTGCATTACACTAGATTAATGCATACTAAAAGCTGTTATACATGAAATTAGCAAAGCTAAATGTAAAGCGTAATGAGTATTTTGAACAATTAAATAATGATAATGAATGAGTAAGCCTGTTTTTTATCCAACGAAAAATGGCCGTCAATTAGGCATCGAATCGATGGTTATAATTGATCGAAATTACTGATATTCGATATCGCTCGATTCAATGAATCATTTTATCGTTAGATACCTGAATTTCTTGCATAGTTTGTCTTTTCTCCTTTTCGTTTTACTTTGAGGAATTAAAAGAGAAAAAGTGTACTATGCAAGTTTAATTAAAAAGAGTAAATCTATTGTCATATGTTACTCAACAGAATATATATGTATTATTTCATTGATAATGAAATCAAGGTTGATGATATTGTGCCACTGTATTTATAAATACTTTATATAGAATAGCC